ATGATGGTAGTGGTGGTAGTGATTTTGGTGAAGGTGACTTCTTGGTTATTTTTAAATGTTTTTTTGTTATTTATTTATTTATCAGTAATTTATATAAAAACTTTTGTTTTATATGACATACAGTACAAATACTTATAATAAACATTTCTTTAAATATTATTAGTAACTATATATTAATTGTATTTATGGATAAAATATATTCGTGTAATAACAGGATTAGGGAGTTTTGAATTTACAGCTTCAACATTATTAAATGGAAGTTTAATAACATTAAAAGATTAGACACCAAGACCAGAAAAATGCTTACTCAAATTAGGATGCACTCTACTGAAATCAGATGTTGCTAGGCTGAGGCACCATGAGATTTAAGGGGGAAATGTTTAATCCAACTTGAACTAACTCTAAAAACTATAACAATCGGATTAGAAGCATATCTCACAAAAATCAATGACCTCCCACAAATAGTAAAAGCCAATGACTCTCTTCTACAAATACTAAAACACCAAATCTACAAAAGCTGCACTCTTTAAGAAACAGCTTCATGGAACTGAAAACCTACCAACAAAAAACGAAGCGAATACCATCTACGCCAAATGAGTAAAACAGAAAGCAAAATAACTTGGCCAAATTTAATTATCAAAAAAAAAAAAAAAAAATGGGAGGACAAGTCTTTGCATGGCAAATACCTAAAAAGAACGAAAGAAGCAGATTTGGACCAACAGAAAACACATCAGTGGCCGAGGAGCACCACGTTGAGAACTGAGACAGAAGGCCTAATTATTGCAGCTCAGGACCAAAGCCTCGCAAAACAGATCCTATCACTGTCACATAATCAAGGATGGAACTAACCTGAAATGCAGGATCTGCGGGAAAACATAATGAAACTGTTGACCTTATTATTCCAGGATGTGCGGAACTAGAAAAAATTGAATATACCTACAAACATAACAAGGTAGCGACATATGTGCACTGGAAGATATGCAAGATGCACAAAATCGAAGCCACTGAGAGATGGTATGAGCACCAACCAGACACAGTTACCCAAAATAACGATGTAACTATCCTCTGGGACATGTCAATTCAAACTGACAGGGAAATAAAAGTCAACAGACCTGATATTATCATAAAAGACAAGAAATTCAGGAAGTGTATGCTTATTGACATAGCAGTATCACCTGAGAGAAACACCTCCATGAAAATTAAGGAGAAATTCTCCAAATACGAGGACCTGGAGATCGAGATTAACAGGTTGTGATTAAAGGAGTCTGAGACTGTACCAATAGTAATATAAGCTATGTGTTTCGTGAGAAAAAGAATGGATAATTTTACTAATATTGTCCCAGATAACATCAACATACAAGTTATCCAGAAGATCGCCCAACTAGGAACATCCCATATACTAAGAAAAGTGATATCAATTAAATAACAATTCTCCTATAAGGCCTAAGAACCATAGTTTAGACCCGGCTCTACAGGATATAAAGAAGGAAACAAAACAAATGAAAATACTAATATCTGCCTATATTTCTGAGATGAGGTAACTATTTACATTTTTCAGACTATTTCCCTCATCTTTATTGTCTTATTCACGACGTTTCGACCGTAGTACGCTCTGGCATTCTTCAGATTATATTCGTTGGACTTTTGAACTGAACCTTTTATTTCATCCACTGGGTTAGTTTGCTCTGGTTCCACATGTCATGCCTTTTTTGAATATCTCAGTTTCAGTTATTTCCCTTTAATAACTGAACTCCCCAAGTTTGTGGCCACCTCTGCTATGGTCACTCACAACTCTTTGAGTCAAGTCACTGGATTATTTCAACCAACTGGGCCAATAGTAATAATAATAGCATTAAATAATGCCAATTATAATAAGGAATATTGAGTAATAATATAAGACAATTTTAATATTTGAATTTCTGAGATGAGGTGTTATTGTTTACAAGATTTATATGTGGTCTATTGTCCTCATCTTTGTTGTTATTATCATAACTAAGCAATACTAAATAAAAAAATAAAAAAAACTAGACGAGATATCTCTAGACTTGGTTAGTGGAACGAGAACAATCTAGTCTAATAGATTAAATAAAGGCTTCGAATTTCCCTGAAGGTTATCCATATTGAAGAGAACTTAATGAAGACCGGAGTGTACAACGGTCGAAATGCTGTGATAATAACAACAAAGATGAAGACCATCGTTCATATTTAAATAATGCTAATAAGAATAGCAGCTACCGACGATAAATAATATATGGAAGATGAAAATGACCATAATTATTGCCATACATGGAGCCGGGGAGGATGAAGTAAATGGCTTGCAAAGAGGTTGAAGTAGCTGGAAATCCGAGAAAGAATAAAAAAAACATTTAAAGACCATTTTTTTGGATTGACACCACATTACTGCGGAGAGGGAAAATCACCAGGTATTCCCTTCTTCTTCTTCTTCTTCTTCTTCTTCCATGTATCGTATCCCTTCAGGACTTGAGCGACCATGACTCAACACGGCTACCTGTCTTTTGTACCTTATAGTAAATTTTGGGTTGATTTTCTCTGTCCTCTAAAACTTCATCGTTGCCCACATGGTATTCTCAGCATCCTTCTGTAGAACCACATCTCTGTTGTTTTAAGTTTCTTCATCTATGAGGAGATTGTCCGGCATTCACTGCCATATAGGAGGGCTGATATAACATAACAATTCAGTACTCTTTTCTTTGTTTCTATTGCTTCAAATCTCTTATTCATCTGTGAGGGGATTGTCCAGCATTCGCTGCTATATAGGAGGACTAAGAAAACATAACAATTCAGTACTCTTTTCTTTGTTTCTGTTGCTTCAATTCTCTTCTTCATCTGTGAGTAGATTGTCCAACATTCACTGCCATATAGGAGGACTGATATTACATAACTGTTCAGTACTCTTTTCATTGTTTCTGTTGCTTCAAGTCTCTTCTTCATCTGTGAGGAGACTGTTCATCCTTCACTGCCATATAGGAGAACTGATATTGTATAACAGTTAAATACTCTTTTTTATTGTTTCTAACGATGTTTTCCCGTTTCTTAATACTTTGCTCGGCATTTATAAGGCATTTTCCGTCCCCTTTTAAAAGACTTCCTAGATATTTACCTCTTAGTACTGGCTTGATTTTGCTATCTCCAGTTAGTAATTAGATTATTGACCCACCCCCTTTTGCTGATAACCGCACATTCTGTTTTCTTAAAACTGATGTTTAGTCCTTTTTTTTCGCTTTCCTTTACTACCAATTTTTTAGGATTTCCTGTATTTTCCATTCTGTGTCTGCTATTAATACAGTGTCATTGGCATATCTAATGTTGTTAAAATTGTGGCTACCAATAATGAATCCTGGTAGGAATTCCAATTGTCTCAGAAATTCACTGTAAAATTTGAATAAGGCTGATGAGAAGACACATCCTTGTCTTACACCTCTTTCTATTTGTGTGTGTGCGTATGTAACCGCTAAACTAATGACTATCTCACAGAAGAAAGTACCTTACATGGGAAAAATCGTCTTCATCCCCGCCAACGCAGCTTTATCAACAAAACAATGTACACAAGGACTGTTTGCCATTTTGACCTTTAAACCAATCGGGTTGTGTGAAAAATGATGTAAGTAAGCCGCTCGAATTACGCAAATGTAGCTGGGAGAAAGGAAGGGGCTTTTTTGTGTAGAATTCCTGTTGGTCTACAGGGCTTTCCGAATGGAGCTGTGATGGGAATACATATAGCTACGAGTACTGGGACAACTGCCACTATTTTTGTAAGATATTCTGGTGCTTTTTCTGTAACAATTTTTGTAATCTTACTCTGTCCTGAGGGGCTCTATCTTCTTAGGAGAATGTGTCGTGCCTATTGGGAGACTATCGGAGCGTCAGGAAATTCAGTTCAGACTTTAAATTTAAGAAGATTCAACAATAAGGATTTTATTTTCTAATAAGTATTTACATACAAGTATTTATATATAAATATATATATATTCATCTACAGAGAGACTGTATCACAGCTTCACAGACGTTCAACTGCTTCAAACCGGGATCGAAACCCGACAGATTTGACATCAGTCAGGTAACTTATCTCTACGTCATCGTCGCACGGCAGAAAGGAATGGAATTTTAACGTTTTTCCTCTATACGAAATACTCCAGCGGCTCGGAGAACTCAATTCATTTTACTTGAAGTGTAATGTTTAATTGCAGTAGCAGCCGTTGTTTTTTCAATCACCCTTTCCTTATATTGGTTTTTCAAATTTTTTAAATTTAGGAACACTCATAAATATTCATCAGGTTACCTGAAAAGTCAGACAAGCTATGGAGGACACGACTTGACATAATTCAATGTCTAATAAACGAAAGTGAGTGAGTGATTTTATCGTATTTTTCCTGTAAATTAATATTTAAATTATTTTAGTTTAGGATTAATTTATGTGTTATATAATGTGAATAAAATGAGGCCTTCGGTTTAACGGTCTTCATTCAATTTTTAACATTTTTATAGTCATATATGTTGGCTCGAGAAAAATGTAATTCTTCCAGGAATGAAGATACTTGAAAAAATCAGGGGGGCACATAGGGGCACTCTGGAAAATTTTCCTTCTAAATAAGCTTCTTTCTTTTTTAATATGTGTGGCATTCTTTAGATCAAAGTTGTGACCGAATTTATTTCTATGTATAACTAAAGAATTTAAGAAATTGTTGTGAGTTAGATCCATTTTTGTTCATATATATATATATATATATATATATATATATATATATATATATATATATATATATATATATATATAGTTTTAATTTTCTGCATTCAAGCTGCAAAAAAACAACGGCTTGACACATTATTAAGATTAATAGATCAAATTTCATGTGTGGTAACTATATGGTTTGTGTGTGTGTGTGTGTGTTTGAAATCTGCTATAATTACTGAGGAAAAGTGAACATCGTAGATATAGAGTTTATCTGCATATACTGTGTATACATAGGATTCAACACTACATGGTGATATCTCTTTACTCCTCGTAAGAGCAGAAAATTTCAGAAGACAGCTCATGAAATGCTATTTCCTCGTCGTCATTGAAGAAAACCTTTCCAGCTAGGACCCACCAGGACACGTACACACAATCGAATCATCCTTATTCCCTTTGTATTTCATTAGTAAGGATGAAGTTTCTTTCAGACAGCTTGAACTACTTTGTAGAAGGAATTTCTGGATGTGGATGCTTCTACGATCACTACAGTTCTGGCCCCTTGAATAGGTCAACTGATATCTATCCTATGTATCCTAATAATCTATTATTCTTACTTCATTTTCTTATGACCATATAACAACGTCATTCTGTAGCTCTCTACATCGAATGTCTCTTGAGCCTTGTATTGGATAAACAATAGTTTTAAAATCATCCTTGTTGAAGATTGCTGCCACATATGGTCCGGTGCTCCTGCTTCATATTTAGAGATTCTCAATAAAATTTTCAGACAAATCAGCAATATTATTGGTCCTGACCTGGCGTCTCGGCTTCAGTCACTTTCCCGCCACCGTAAAGTTGCTTCCCTCTGCCTTTTCTATGAATTGTTTGGATGACGTCTTTGCTATGGTGTGATTGTGGCTGTGTCTGAATGAGTGTGTGTTTGAGTAAGTGCTTGGGATAAAGGAATGTTTTATATTATTATAGTTCCGCATTGATTTCGTCTAGTTTACTGATGTTTCTGCACACTCAGGGATTGTGTATGTGGGTGGGTGGGGTTACTAATACTATTTTGTTTAGTTTCTTGTATATAGTTTTGTTCATTTTTGTAAATATTCGTTGGTGTTTAGATTTTTAAATTGTTATTTTATTCCCCTCCCACCACAGACAATGATTTGTACATAGGTGGACTAGTTAGGAATTTCATAGAGACAATGTGGTATTATGGTGAATGTGGTGAGAAAGGTAAGTCAGAATACGCTGTTTTGGTGTTAGGAATTTTGTGGTAGGTTTTGGTAAGTGTTTGTTGCTAGTTTGTTGTTAAGACAGAAGAAAACCGCCCTTTTGCCCTATTCCCCTTTTTGGTCTTGTGCCGCATTTTGTATTTTTTCAAATAAATAACGCCCTTGCTTTGGTACCTAGACATCCTGAATTTGAGTCCAGTACTAGATTAGCTTCAAGGCCCCATCGGTTTAAGTTGAATTCAGTAGATGTAACCATAAATTCTATGTTAACAGTTTGTTTTCTCGCACTTTTCGCTTTTATACTCTGTTCCGGCTTCTTGGTTTCCTGTCAAGTTTGAACTTCAAAAATTGAAATGTGATGTCAGTTGTTATCTCCTCTCTTCCTTATTACTCTTCTAGTGTTCTCACTGTTTAATAGTGCTTCTGTTTTCTAATTCTCTTACACCCACCGTGCCTTAGTGACTTTACTGCCTTATATGGGATGAATGTCACTATGGCAAAATAAATCTGTGTATATAAATGAATTACCAGAATTGCTGAAGGCTGCCGTTGACAGACCGTTGTGGAAAACAACAGTGTGGCTTCTGCATTCGGATCCGACCTACGGTTACAAAAGTCAGGGGGATGATGATGATGATGATGATGATGTTGATGATGATGATATCTATCTATCTATCTATCTATCTATCTATCTATCTATCTATCTATCTATCTATCAGTACAAGGCAAAACACCCTGTGCCAGAGAATCATGCAAGGCACCATTAAAGGTGGACGTAGGAGAGGACGCCAACACAAAAACTGATTGGACAATGTCGAACAATGTACTGGCATGACTGTACCAGAATTACTGGTGGCTGCTTTTGATAGACCGCTGTGGAAGAGTTAATGTGGTTTATGTATTCGGATCCACCCTACGGTTACAAAGGTCAAGCGGATGATGATGATGATGATGATGATGATATAAATGAAAAGACTGCTCAATAAAAAAAAGGCCTTTTTAACCATGGCTTTTGACCTCTGATTTGTACTTCATTGCACCAGCGTAGAAGCCGACACCACACTGAAACGGCTTTATATATTCTATAGATTGCTGTCCTTTGCTCTACCTACTTGACTACAGCACCCAATTCATAAGATAGAGACTCAGACAAGCGAAATTCCCACGTAAGCCACGGCTGGCTGCCTTTTGCAACTTCGGTCTGAACAGAAATAGAAAAACTCAAAGTTCCATTTAGGTGAAGTACCTACATTTTTATTTTACAGTCGACCATTCATTCACATCATAAACATGAACAAAGAAATCTATTTCTAAAAGAAGAAAAGAAAACAGAAAAAGGAAATGAGTTTGTAGATCATATAAAATTTTGATTTAAAATCCAACGTAATAACGATCTATTCATTAAAATCAATAGATCGTTAAGGTTAATAACTACAAACTTGGAATTATCTGAACGTTGATCGTAATCAGCGACTTAGTAATAAAACTTTGAAAATCATTTAGTTTGTAAAAGCACGTACACGTCACGTTTAAGATCTGAAGGTTATAGAAGGCTAAGCTTCTTCTTTGCTAGTTCTATTGAGAAACCACGATTCTGCTTCCGACACCGACTTGGATGTTTAATTCCATATCATAATATGTTGCTTGAGATGGGCACCTCGAGGCGGTGTAATGGTTAGAAAACTTGTCTTGTTAGGACAATTACGACTGAGTAGTGAGTTCGATCCACACTGGGTGCCCCATACTTTCGGCCTTGTGCCACATCTGAGCTACGCTTGGAAAATCACTATACATTGCTTGAGAGGCACTCCGGCGTGGTGTTATGGTTAGTCACCTTGTCTTGCTAGATCAGTTACGACTGAGTAGTAAGTTCGAACCTCACTGTATTCCCCATACTTACGAGCTTGTTCTAGATCTAAGCGATGCCTAGAAAATCACCATATTCCAATAGTGTAACAGCAAAATCATCCATTTGTTATATTAAGCTATGAACCATTGCATCTTAGAAATGATTAAAGATATCTTACTGGAATACTCCGAGGTTTTTATAACACTATTGGACGCTACTTTGAACAATAAGAATGTACAATGATATAATAACTTGTCCTATGTCTAAGTTACGCTTAGAAACTCCTTGGGCATCTCGACGTGTCGTAATACTTAGCAAGCTTGTCTTGTAATTATTTATTCTACTTGCATTGTTCGAACTGTTGTTCTCATCTTTGTTGCTATGCTCATGATGTTTCGGCTGGTGTACGTTCCGGCCTCCTTCAGGTGATTGGAATTTGGAATCATATCCTTTACTTCGTCCACCGGGGTAGATTATTCTTGTTCCATGTGCCATACCTCTTCCGGACAGTGGATAAAAGCGTTGGTTGAAGTAACTTGACCCAAAGAGTTGTGAGTTCAATACCTGGTTACAGCAGAGGTGAACAAAAACTTGTCCAAGCGGCACTTAGAACATCACCATAATAGATTGCTAAAGATGGTTCTTGACCTTGGTGTAATAGAAAGATTGTCTTGCGAGATCTATCAAGACTGAGTTCGAATCGCACTGAATGCTTCACACATTCGGTTTTGTGCCATATCTGAGAAAATCCTTGGTATCATCGACGTTGCGTAATGATTGGCAAACTTGTCTTACGACTGAGTAGTGATGCATCATAATTTCGACCTTCTACCATATCTAAGCTACGTTTAAATCATCATAAAATATTGCTGGAGTAATCAAACATTAGAAATAGAAAACCGACTACCAAAATCGAGCTAACGAAAATCTCTAGGCCCGAAACAAATAGTTTCTATTGCAACGTATCAAAATAACTTACTATTTTTTTTGTTTTTTTAATTAACTGATCATTTTAAAATTAAAAATGAGTTTGTTTCAAAGTTCTAAGCTCTTCTGAAATGTTTTCGACTTATGAATTGAGTATTGATGCTATATTTGGTTTGGTGCTTCTGTTATGTATCTAGATTCTTGATTCTTGAAAAGAAATCCAGTACATCCCGTCTTTCTTATCGCCTTAACAAAGCATCCCTGTAACTTTTTTTATAAATATTTCCATAAATGGTTTGGTACGTGAGAGAGGAGTTTCAGCTATGATAGTCCGAAGGGCGTTAAAAAAAAAGACTCGAAAATTAAATCGTACGTGAAATGTTAGAAGCAACTTTCTACTCCAGGACAGAAAGTTCGGAGGTGAGTGAGGACGAAGATCATCTTCAATAAGTTGTAAAATGATCCCGGAATAATATATATATATATATATATATATATATGTGTATGTCATTCGCACTGTTTCGCTGCTCAGTGCGACTAGACATCTGAATGCATCAAGCCAGGATTGAAACCCAACCGATTCGGTGTTAGTCAGAGATTCTAGCACTGAGATATCTTCATTAGACAGAATAAGCTAGCTAAATCTAGTATATTGTTTTTATGAAGGTAAACAAATGCCAATCAGCCATAGGGCTCGATTCATTTTACTGAAGAAATTTGCATTAGCGCAGGTGGCTGTTTATGGAATTAGTCTGTAATTCAACAGGGCTCAATCGAAATTTCGAGAGCTATATATATATATATATATATATATATATATATATGAACTTTATTTCAGTCTTTCATGAGCGTCCAATCCCTAGCTATGATTAATTAATGATGAACATGACATTTCGTTTATGATAGATTCATCACAATTTTTCTGATAAGTTTTGAGAGTAATTATATATTTTTATTGTTCAAAGTAGCGCCCAATAGTGTAATAAAAACCTCGTAGTATTCCAGTAAGATATCTTTAATCATTTCTAAGATACAACGGTTCAAAGCTTAATATAACAAATGGGCGATTTTGCTGTTACGCTATTGGAACAATTTTGCTGTCACACCCAGTATATGAGATTATTATTATTATTATTATTATTATTATTGATGTTGTTGTTGTTATTATTATTGTCACTATTATTATTATTAATCAAATTAAAATTTGACAAGCGACCTTCGGATTGAAATCATCAGAGTGTGAAGCGTTCAAGCAGCTATTGTCCCAGTTATAATTGGGGCGTCATAGTGTCATAGTAGATTTTAGATGCGTACATGAAAGCAAATTTAAAGTAAAAATCTTCTCAAAAATGGAAATACAATTCAGATTTTATGAAATAATTTTGGCTACGATTTTCGATTATCTCGTCCCATTGCACTTTTCTCACACATTGCCTGTATCTTCATTTTTTTTCCCTTTTCCCTCCTCATATTTGCCGCTCCCTCAATTAATGAGAAAATTACAAATATTTTCTATTTCATCTTTCTTTTGTTCTATCTCTCCATCAATAATTTTAATATAACCGATTTCTTAGCATTCTATCCACAGCTGTCTTTTTATCTTTCGCTGACTATTTTAATATCCAGACAAATATTCTGTCTCTTTCATATTCAGTCCTTACTTTCTCCCCACCATATATATATATATTATTATTATTGTCATTATTATTTCAACCGTTATTTTTTGTGGCTACCCGTATTTAAGCAGACGCTTCGTTTTTTAAATATTGTGTAAATTACGCTGGATCAGACGGTGGTTTCTCCTACAAAGGTGGATGCAGGTTCGAACTCTGCTGGAGAGAACATCTCCTTCATATTTTTTTTTCTGAGTTCGTAGGCCGATAGTCGTAATACACGGCGTTTAAAAATAAATGAAGCGTCTACTCAAATAAGAGTATTCATATAAAATAGTTTTTAAAACAATAAAAATGTCGGAATAATATTAACAATCCACTATTTTTTTGAGAAATATGAATGTATAAGTTTGCGTTTAAGCATGAAACAGACAGTTGCCCCAGGATTTTGAACCCAATGTACTCTTTATATTTACATACGTTCTATCACTGATATTGAGCACTTTAACTCATATAGCATACCTTATAAATATAATAATGCGTGTATGACGAGTGCGCATTTAAATGTATGCATACTTAAGGGGTTGTGTTTGCCTGTTTGTAAGAACCCTTTCTAACGGAGCGTTTATCGGAATATCACGACGATGCCTGCAAATTTTCAAATATTCACTTGTCCATATAAAAAGCCTCCATTTACGCAAATAAACAATCTAATTTCGCTTTCACAAATATTAATATGGTTGCTTTCAAAACAAGTGAATATTGCGCCTTTTTCTCATGCCAATTTTTAAGCATGTATTTAAAAAACAAAAAATCTGCCAAACTTTTACGCTCTTTTACTCTGGGTGTCAGCAAAAGACACAGCTAAATTACAAATTGGAGATACAATAATTCAACTAGAGCAAAAATCGAAATATTGTAATGTTTCTTTGAAATTCTCAAAAAAACTATCAAAATACAAGGATCTTGAAGGGGAAATATATTAAAAAAAAAAGTGGCACATGGGGATGTCAACAATTCTAGTTGTAGTTGGAGCCCTCGGATTTACTGAAAATTGTCCGATAAAAACATTGAAAGGATTCCTGTTAACCCATGCCTTCATGCCTTAAAGAAATACAAGAAAAATGTACTCACAAGTACAGCTCACACATTACAAAGAGCTTTATCTATGTAAAATGTAAGTGATCTATTTTTTTGTTTTTACAAAAATGATCAGTGTAACATGTAATAAGTCTATTTCTGAACTGATGTTTCTGGCTGAGACCCTGAAGGAAATGTGTCCATAAGAGAAACCAAAGAAAATAATAATAATAATAATAATAATAATAATAATAATAATAATCTGTTACATACTTGATAGTATTTCCAGTAATATCGATAAGGCCATCTCCATACATCCATTTGCAAATGTAGTTGTGTTCAGTGATTTTAATGCCCACCATAACAGATGGTTTAAACACTGACCTCACTGACATCTAAACCTTTAATTTCCCAATAACTCAATCTCTCAAACAAGTGGTTGACTTCCCCATGAATTTCCACAGTAACCTTGGTGAACATACTCTTCTTCTCAAACTTTTTTTTAACTCTATCCATGACTCTTGCCATACTACACAGCTCTGTCCTCTTGGCAATTATGACCATGCGGTAGCGTCTATAAACATCTCCTTCCGCTCACCCTTCAGCCAAGAAGCTCCTACCAAGAGAATATCCTTAGGAATTAAGTTTTTCATCATCCTGTTAAAAAATTACGCATTTGGTGGTTTTCTCTTGAGTGAAAGCTTTCATCTCCTTGGTTCTCACCAACATGCTCGGCCGCTATAACCCACCGGAATCACTTCTTCCAGAGCGACACGTTTGATTGCAACATACGTCTCTTTGTCTCTGCTCGTAAAGAGTACAAGCATTTCCTCAATGAACCGAAGTTACTGTTTGCTGATGGAATGAAACAGCATATAGTATATCGCAAGTTCAGATTTAGAGAATATTAGTAAGAGTGCGCTGAACAACAGCAAATCCTAAATCGATCCCCTATTCAATCAATTCAGAGTCCTGACATCTACAGCAGATAAGGTTGAATGTTTTACTCGGAAATTCTCTTCCATCTCAATACGCGACTCATTTGGAGTACCCAGACATGATTTTACCCTGGAACTGAGGCTCTACTGAGTGATATACGCATCACCCCGTCACTTGTCTCTGACATCGTTTCTAAATTAGACTCCCATAAGGCTGGTGGAGGTGACGGGATCGCAGTCATCGTACTGAAGAAATGTGCTCCCGAGCTGGCTCTAGTTCTTTCTAAATTACAATTAGAACTTCTATGACTCCTGCTTTCCTGTTGCAAGTCCTCCTCTCTGATTCCTGCTTTCCTTGTTGGAAATCCTCCTCTGTCGTTCCTGTTCTTGCGAACTCTGAAGAACATTCTGAATCCTCTGCTTATCGCCTTATTAGTCTCCTGCCGCTTTTCGACAAAGGATTCGAGCATTTAATCTATGCTAAAGTCGTTAGACATCATAGCTTACATGACGTACCCTCTGACAAACAATATGTCTTCGGTTTTCCCGATCTACCGCTGACGTGCTTACAGTTACCGCTGAATATGTATATCGAACTCTTATAACGGCGATGATCGAGCTGGGGCTCTACATATCACAAAAGCGTTTGACAGGGTTTGGCATGCTGGTCTTCTATGTAAGCTTCACGACTACGCTATTACAGGACGATTGTTTAATTTAATACATTCGTTCCTATCAAATCGTGAAATGGAGGTCGTTCGTATCGGGATCGCTTCCAGATCTTTTCACACGAGCGCAGGTGACCCCAAGGCACTATTCTGGGTCCTACGCTGTTTCTGATCTTCATCAATGATCTTCCTGGTTTCATCAGTTCGCAAGTAGGCATTTATGCAGAAGGCATTACAATTTACTCCTGTCTCAGTAGCAAATTCATCAGAGCTGACAAAGTTAACCTGGCCGCTGCTCTTGCGGTTAACAGCCGCAGGGAATGGCTTGTAAATTCTAATACCTCCCAAACTGAACTACTCTCATTTCGCCACGATAGAGAAACTTCCTGCTCGCCATCAGCATAGCTGATGCTCCTGAGAAACGTTTCATTACGCCTTTTGACCTCACGTTTTCAGTTGACTTGAAGTGAAACAACAACATTGAAATAATAGCTGCATCTACTGCTAGGAAATGTAGGTCACTGTGTCCTGCCATAATGTTTTTTCTCGTCAGAATCCATTTTTCATATTTATAAATCTACCATTCGGCCGTGCATTGAATCTGGTCTGGTGCTTCCGATAATCATCTCGAGTTTTGTTGGTAAAATCTAAATAAGGATCTTCAATGAAATCGGTCCTGACTTGACATCTCGACTTTAGTTACTTTCTTACAGTCGTGATGTGGCTTCCCTCTGTCTTTTCTAAAAATATTTTCATAGCAACTGTTGTGAAGAGCTATCTCCCTGATGCCCTGACTACATGAATTTAAGCCTGCTCCTAGACTGTCATCTAGGTCCCAGTCTTTTTCACGTTGAAATAGTTAAATGTAACCGCCCATTTTACTGCAACAGCTTCCTTTCTTGCACTTCCCGCCTATGTAACTCCCTTCCGTTTACTCGCTTCCGTGATAACTACAATCTCCAAAAATGTAAATGCAACGTTAATCGCCATCTTCTGAGGTCTTGAACCTCGTTTAACGTTTATCCTTTCCTCATTGCCCCTATAAACAGTTTTTTTCTCTCAGTTTCACTCACTGTAATCCCCTGCGTACTAGTGGCTTTTCCGCCACGCTTGGGGTAAAATAATAATAATAATAGCAAAGACGAATGCAAACGACCAGATACAGAAGCGACGGCAAAATAAACCGCTTCATGGCCAATACTCTGCCCGTACCAAACAAGCTGACGTAGACAAAACCCGTACCCATCAGTGGCTACGTAGTGCAGGGTTGAAAGCGGAAACTGAAGGTTTTATCCTTGCTGCGCAGGACCAATGCTTGCTAACTAGGAATTATCAAGCACATATACTAAAATATTGTGTCATCCCAAAATGCAGATTCTGTGATAAATATCTAGAAACGATTGATCATCTTGTATCAGCTTGTACGGTGTTGGCACCCATTGAATATAAAACCCGACAAGACAGAGTGGGCCAATATCTGCACTGGAAAATCTGCAACTTCTACGGGAAGGAAACTGAAAGAAAGTGGTATGAACACCACCCAGACCCGGTTACGGAGATAGGACCTGTTACAATTCTATGGGACTACACAATACACACTGACAGAACAATCAAGGCCAACCACCCAGATATTGTTATTAAAGACCACAAACAAAAACGGTGCCTCCTTATTGATATGGCAGTCCCTGCTGACTGCAATGTATCTTTGAAGATATTCAAAAAGTTGTCAAAATACAAGGACCTTGAAATAGAAATCTCGAAAATGTGGCATATGGGAACATCAACAATCCCTGTTGTAGTTGGAGCCCTAGGACTGGTTGAAAAAGATCCCAGTAGACTAATTGAAAGGATTCCTGGAAGTCTATTCCTCAAGGAGATACAAAATTTGTTCTGACAAGTACAGCCCACACCTTACGAAGGGCTTTATCTATGTAATTTAATTTTTTTTTTTTGTCAGTGGAAAGTATCATGACGCCATTTCAAACCTTCGGTCCCTGGGCGGGACCAGGAATGAAATGTGTAAACGCCAGAAATCAAAGAAAATAATAATAATAATAATAATAATAATATAAAATCATTGATGCATTCGTTTCCGGTGCAGTCAAGTTTTATGAAGCCGTTTTACGATTTATACGATACACGTATATTTGAATTGAATATGAATTGCATTTCCGTTATTTCCAACAGATTTTTATTTATAGCTTCTTCTATGTACGCATTTAAAATACCTGGATGCAGCCATCAAAATCTTGTCTATCTCACACACTCATTTTAATAATATGAGACGGTCGAACGGAGTTGACAAAAAACAGAACTAAATCATGACTTTTAGACATTTTAATCGCAATTTTTATTCTGGTTTATATCTTCATGGAAAACTGTCAGACCCGGTTGTTTATATCTATCTATATATGTATCTATCTATCTCAGTCTATTGACATCTATCTATCTATGTTCCATATGTATCTATCTATATATCTATCTATCTATGCATTTTGACATTTTAATCACAATTTTTATTCGGGTTTACATCCTCATGAAAAACAGTCAGATCCGGTTGTTTATATCTATCTATCTATCTATCTATCTATCTATCTATCTATCTATCTATCTATCTCAGTCTACTGACATCTATCAATCTATCTATCTAGCTAGGTAGCTATCTCAGTCTATTGACATCTATCTATCTATCTATCTATTTTCCATATCTATCTATCTATCTAGACATTTTAATCACAATTTTTATTCTGGTTTACATCTTCATGGAAAACTGTCAGACCCGGTTGTTTATATCTATCTATCTATCTATCTATCTATCTATCTGTCTCAGTCTACTGACATCTATCTATCTATCTATCTATCTATCTATCTATCTATCTATCTATTACAGGTGTCCTTATCTATCTATCTATCTATCTATCTATCTATCTCAGACTTTTTTATTATCTGTCTCTCCCTCTGGCTAGATATGCGAGTCTCACCACCAGTCAATACATGCAGATGCTGAATCATATTTTAATTGTTATTCGGCGCGCTGATTCCGCACCCGAGGCGAGAAGCCATATATTCGATTCAGAGACGCAGGGGAATTCGAATCTTGTACGAGAATCCCCATCTTTCAGCAGACCCCCAACCCTTTTCTCATTTAACAGCCTCGGTTTATGTTTCTATAAATATTATTCGTAAATCTCTATTCCTTTATGTTTTTAGAAAATATCTTTTGATGTTGCGATAAATGTTCGCAACTTCCCGCTACTTTTCCAAAATGTTTTCATTTCATTGCTTTCTCTTTTCCCATGCTCCAGTTGGCGTCTCATTTAACACCCGAGCCTCTCGTCTCATTGCAAATCCGCTGTCCTCGTTTTTATTTTCGTCTCTTTGTTTTATTGAGTGCACAGGAATGGGACTTTTGCTGATTAATCGCAGGAAAACGAGATTCTTTTATCCTTCGACCATGAGCATTTGAATTCCATTTTCCCAGAGTGCCAAATAGAAATCTTATTTGAATGATGAGCAGTCAGAATAGTAACATGCCAGGAATATTCTTCACGCGATTCCTTCTGTTTTGCAATAGTTTTACCATTCAGCTTGAAATTCTCCCAAGGCCGAACCTGGACCAGTTCCAAATATTCACGTTGGTCATGGAACCGTGGTCTGAATGAAAATTGAAAAGGAAATTCTCACAATTATTTTGCCTTTTCAAGAATGGCTACAATGACATGCTTCAATTTATTTAGACTTCTTGAGTATTTCCGGCTCAACTGGTTTTCTGGGATTTTTCTTCACAACATTACAAATATTTACATATGTCACTATAGCTAAAAAGGTGGGTTGGAGCTATTCAGTCTTACATCATCTCTCTGGTGAGTCATGTTGCGTTTTATTTTAACAAAACTGGGAAAACTTGTATCGAAATGCAGACTCGAGCAAAGCTTTAGGTACAGTGTAACAAGCAGATTAAAATGATATAGCTACAAATACTGATACTAAACTTAATCAAAATAAAGCATTAACGACCAATAAAAGAACATATTCATATAAAATGTTCTGTATATCTTGAATGTATTATAGGTCACAGAGTAACTGAAGCTTACATAGAAGACCAGCATGCCAAACCCTGTCAAATGCTTTTGTGATATCTTCAATGTATTATAGGTTCTCAGTAACTACATCATTTCTAGAGAGAAAATATTTCAGGTACATTACGATAAAAAAATAAAATTTTCAAAAAATATTATGATAGTGTTGCAGTTTTTTGTGTATATGTATTTATTAGTGAGCCAGTCAAAATGACTTGACTCACTTTATAGTCCACCAATAGAAGGTTAACCAATCAGAAGATGTAGAATATACAATCCGTCGTGTATAAAGGTGGCCATTTTGTTTACTCTATCCGAATGTCCAGTTCCAGCTTGTCAGGCGAAGAGGAACAGAAGGAAGAACTACGCTCTGCTACTTTACCGGGATATCCACTGCTAACCTGAAATACGCTTTCCTACTGTCTTCGAAATATTCACTGCTAACCTCTGGATTCTATACTCGAAGACGACCGTCATCATGAACAACATATAGAAATTGTCTAGTTCCTTTATTAATTAAAATTATGTTACGGCAGTGGGAAAGTGACTAAAACCGAGTTGCCACTGGTTTAAATGTTAACATATCCAAAGTTTGTCACGAGAAAAATTGCTATAGATTTTAAGATTGAGAAGGAAATTCTCTAAAGAGATTTTCTTCTTAATCTTAAAAATCTCAGCAAATTCTCCAAGTGTGAGTTTATTCTTTTCAATGTTTTATAAGCTTTGAAATTTGTAACATGTTTTTTTCCTGAAAATTTCAAACGTTTCAAATCCTGTGTCATGACACCCTAAATAATGAATACTTTGGAAACTTAAAATGTTTAGAAGTTTTTTGCTTAACATTTGCAAATCATTCTCATGAAGATGACAGTTAGATGTTACTGCAGTAGGAAGACATTTTGAATATTACAAAACAAATGTTATTTTAAACATAAACACTGGATCCTATTCTTGCAAAAACTGTTATAAACTTTTTCATTTTTATTATTAATATTAGACTGGTAACAAATCTCATCAATTTACAGTTGAATTGGCGAGATTCAAATGTAAGTTCTATGCTAACAGTTTCTTTTCCCGCCCTTCTCACTTGTAGAACTCTCTTCCGGCTCCATGCTTTCCAGTCAACTTTGATCTTCAAAAATTGTTATCTACTGTCTTCCTGTTTATTTTTTATTGCTCTCGCTCATTAGTAATATTTCTGTTTTATAATTCTACAACACCCAGTAGCGCCCTTTGTCTTAGCGACTATATTGCCATGCTTGGGCGAATTCGATTAAATATTTATGCAAGTAATTAATTCAGTCATTAATTTCAATATCGAAACTGAAGCTGCACATTTGTTACTCACACACAAAGCGTGTATAAATGACAAGGAAGCTTTTTCCCTTTCTCTCTTTCCATATATATATGTGTGTGTGTGTGTATTGTGTTTTTAGACAACAATCCTTCATTTATACATGTTTCATTAACGACAACAAATAAGGTACTGCGATTAAGCTTTTTCTTTAATTTTTCTTGTGTTCGAACAAGTGTTTTTTTTTGTTTCTGTTTTTGAACATGGAGTATGCAGAAACTGTCCAAATGTCCTGTAATTCCGAGCGTTTCGGCTCTACTATTAGCCATTATGAAGGATGATTTTATTTTTGTTTTTTAATTGGGTGTATAGATTGTGTGTACGTTTCTAGAGTTACGTTACACCTGTGTGACCACAGCTCTGTTAGAACCCATTTAAACACACACACAGACTTACCAGACTCCATATGAAACATACGAGTAGAAAATACAAACATAATAACATCATCCAAATGTTAAAAAAAAGATTAAAATTAATGGAAGCCTTAATAACTAAAAAGAAAAAGCCAAAACTCAGTAATATTTACTACGAACAAGGGAACAATGTGGTGTGTTCGGAAAACAAAACATCCCTATAACTCTAGAAAAATAGACACAACCCAGGCACCCAGTTAAAAAGCAAAAATCAAATCATCCTTGATAATGGCTAAAAGTAGAGCCGAAGGTGCTCGGAATTCAAGAACATTTGGACAGTTTCTACACAGTCTGTGTCCCAAAAAGAAAACACTTATATATATATATATAATATATGAGTGCTGGTGCTAATTAAATAGTACTGGACGTATAAGAGAGTTATAATTTATATTAATAATAAATATATATTGTTCCTCATCAGTATCACAACTACATGCTTCATGCGCAAGGCAATCGTCAGGTGAAAACTGACTATTGCATAATAATGAAATTATGCAACGTCAATTTAATAAATGAATACTTATCATATATATATATATATATATATATATATATATATATATATATATATATATGTATGTATGTATGTATGTTCAGGTTTGGATGGATGAGCGTGGGTATGCGTGTACGTGTGCGTGTGTTTATACATGAAGTTGTATGTATGTATGAAAGACAAAGCTTACGTGTTTGTTTGCGGGTGTATATGTGTGCATGCGTGTAAAATACCAATATGACCAGCAAGTAAAACAATGGGGTTTGCAATTCACCCGTCTCCCCACACCTTCTTAATATGGAAAGTCTTTCACGAAAATCAGAAAGTTATGCCTACCAATATAATTTTTTTTTTTGGCAAACCATTTCTTTCTTCACGTTATATTTATTATGACAAGACTTTCAGTAACATGTCGGAATTACATTCTCATTAATTCATCAAATCGTTGGAACAACGCCCTCTAGTAGATCGAGCTTGTCTCCCTTTTTTACATTTCCCGCCGTTATATATTCATGTGCTTCCTAATTTATAGAATATTATATATTAGCTTGATATTCAAGCCTCCGGCATTTTTAAACCAAATCTTTCATTCATCTAACGTCATAGCATCATCATTATTTTTTTTTAACCCGTTTTCCCTTCGCGGGCGAAGCAATCACAATTCTGTTTCTTTGATGTCTGTAAATTTCCATGATTCTCTGGAAGAGATAGTGGATTGGTTTTCCAAATTGTCTTCTCCACCGTTTGGAATTCATATTTTTCATTCTCTTGGATTGGTTGCCACCCAAAACGAGAGACCCAAATCTAACCTGCTATTTAACTCTTTTTCATCAGGAAAGAAAGATGAATCCATGCCATTCCCAAAGGCATTTATACGTAGTGAACGCAACAGACTAGACCGGAATTTGACCGAGGTTTACCGATTCTATACTCTGTGCCCATTGCAGTTACCAAAATATTTCCCAGCCTTTTGCATCGCTTTTTGGGTCATCCGCCGTAAAAGCGCGATCCGCTTTTGACGGACTGAATTCTTCAAAAACGTTTTAAGTCGACTGGAAATTTGAGTCAGGGTGATTATTGAGTCGTCGTGAAGGTTGTGTATGTGTTTAGGTTTAATAAGCAATGAAGCTTGAAACCGCGGGAAGGTTGAGACAGGCTGAAGGTTCAGTCGACGAGAAGGTTGTGTCGAATGGATGTTTGAATCGGAATGAAGGTTGAGTCGGCGTGAAAATTCAGTCGTTGTGAAGGGTTAATCGGCGTGAACCGCAGGAAAGTTGAGACGTCGTGAAAGTTAAGTCGGCTGAAAGTTGAGTCTGGTTGAAGGTTCAGTTGACGGGAAGGTTCAATCGGCGTGAAGGTGAAGACCGCGGGAATATTGAGACGAGATGAAGGTTTAGTCGACGGGAAGTTTGAGTTGGCGTGAAGGTTGAGCCGGGCTAAAGGTTAAATCGGGTTGAAGGTTCAGTCGACGTGAAGGTTTAATCGGCGTAAAGGTTAAAACCAAGAGAAGATTGAGACGTCGTGAAGGTTCAGTCGGCTGAAATTTAAGTCGGGCTTAAGGTTCAGTCGACGGGAAATTTGAATCGGGCTGAAGGTTCAGTCGGTGAGAAGGTTTAATCGGCGAGAA